AAAGAATGGTTCATAAAATCGCCACAGAAAAGAAGACTAGGAAAGATGACATACCTAGATCAATGGCAACGAATTCGGATGGAAGAGTGTTTTGAGGAGTGCTGTTCGATGGACCTTCACCTAAAATCAATCATCAAATCAGAAATTACTTAGAAGAATGGTTTATACAATTGCCACAAAAAAGAAGAATAGGAGAGATAACATACCTAGATCAATGACAACAAACTCGGATGGAAGAGTGTCTTGAGGATGGCTGTTTGAGGGACCTTCACCTAAAATCAGTCGTCAAATCGAAAGTTAGTTACAAGAATGGTTTATAAAATCGCCACAAAGAAGAAGACCTGGAGAGATAACATACCTAGATCAATGACAACAAATTCGGATGGAAGAGTGTTTTGAGGAGTTTGAGTTTGAGGAGTGGGTGATACGACATCAACTGGTTTTGGAGTAGGAGTGACTGGACCGAGTTCGATTTCGTCTTTGGTGTCGGAGGAAGAATTCTTAGAAGGGATTTCGAGAAGAGTATAAAGTGTATGTGAATGAAGAAAAGCACAAAGAAGAATGATGTACAACTTTTTAACAATCAATTTTAAAAGAAACTCTTGGGGAACTTTGTGTGAAGAAGAGATCTTCCAACTACTCCAGATCAAGATGAAGATATTAAAGAAACTCAAAGGAAGATAAATCAAGAGGGTTTTTTTAAAACGGTGACCGAAGACATTATTCAGATTCATGATGACTTGATAAAGAGGTTGAAGAGAAGGATGAAAGTTTGAAGAAAGTGTTGTGAAGGTCTTTTTTGGTTTTGGGATGGTCGATTTGAGTAGTGGTAAAAAGTGGGAAGGGTGAAGGAAGCCTTTTGCAAAAAGTAAGCTTTTTATACTTGAGAAATACAACTGTGAAGCTGATCGACACTTGACATACCTGTAACATGCATCATCAGCTTTTTTGATTAATGTGATAATGCTCAAAGTGTATTGTGAGTATGCATTATTTGTGATCGGTAGTATTTGCCTGTGTGATGGCATTACACCACCGGTGTAGTACGCGCTAATAAACATGTTTTTGTGCTTTGTTCAAAGACCGCAACTTCAAGCATCAATCAAGCAAACCAACGTTAATTACCCTTCTCGATTTTTCCACCACAAAACAGCTGTCTTCGGTTGAATTTCTTGCACCGTTTTAGAGGTCAGAATGGATGATCCTTTCTATGCTGTTGAAGCAGTTTTAACAAAATTAAGCTGATGACAGGATTGTTTGAACACTTTGATAATCCTGTGGTCGATGTTTCCGGTGAAACAACGTGTGAGGTTCCGCACTCAAAGCCTTCAATCCTCATCAGTTAGACATACTAATATAAAGTTAATTCCATCACAGACTCATTCTTGACATCGCTTCAGACTTTATCTGAATGTAAGAAGTATTTCCTATTGATCCCTTGAATCGTGAGCCAAGCTTTAACTCCCGTTTTGTTCTCACACTTCAAGGATCAATATGCAATCTATTCAATAGGATGATATCAAAGAAAATGGTTGATACCTTCTCATCAATTTATTCTCAGGTCTTAAGTCTCAAGTTTGCGGTCGTCCAAGTGAGGACACCAGTTTTATCGTCTTTTAAGCCGACTAAAGCACTAACCTAACCATTCCTGATCCTCCAATCTCTTTCACTCATTCTGCATTGAAGAAGCTGATGATAGAAAGTATGTAATTACTATATAGAGGACATTTGATCGCATAATATTCCTATTACTAACTAAAAAGGAATCACAAGCAAATTCACTAGGTACCCTGACTTACTAAATCAGAAATTTGATCAAATCTTTTGACCACTTTTCCAAAACTTGTTCAATATTTTTATATTCTGACAATATGAATTTTAAACAACTTCAACTGGATCCAAATGATCGATCTATGCAACTGGGATAGCTTTTTGAATTTATGCGCAATGTCGTCCTCAGTCAGGTAAAAAAAGAGTATTTTGATTTATTCATGTGGTCCAAGGTGAGGATTGATGGTTGATCCATCTTTGTCACTTCTCCTATGAGTTGATGTGTGCATGTGCGTGCATTTTCATATGTGAATCACATCAGAGTGGCTTGCTAAAGACTTGGTGCACTTTGGTTTATTTTCCCTTGATTGTGATCATCCTGGTGATACTAATACTATCCATGTCATAGAACCGAGATGAGTAGAGTTTTCTTCCTCAAGATGTGATACCTTGTCTCCCTCATCTCACTCTTGAGTTTCACTCTTTCTAATTTTTCTCTCTTTGGAAAGACAGACTCGGTCTTCATCCAAACAATCATGTATCCCATCATCATGGTGGGTTTTACAAATTGTATCCTCCTCCCCTCGAGCTAACATTAGGTTCATCTGGTTATCACTGCCTTTGCATTTCATTCTTTGTCTTTAACATGTGCTTTTGAAATCCATCTCTTGGCCTTTTTGTTCTACAATTCTAAAGTAAAAATCATATGCATGAATCATTGAGCCAGATCATTCCACCTGGAACAATTTTTTGAATACCATGTTGAATTCATGTTTTATCACGTACACTAGCAACCATCCCACTATTCTAATTTGTTCTTTTGTTCTTTTTGTTCCTTCCCGTCTGAGCCTTGTATCCACTCTTCCCAATGTGGTGAATGATACTCACAACTACCACTGTTTGCTTAACCTATGTCTAGAAAGATTCTGCACTATATAAAGAGCTCATGTTTGCGTGCTTCAACTGTTTTTCTTCACTCAAACATATTTCTCTTTTGTTTGTGCCACCTTACAACAGGTGCTCCTTTCTTTCTTCACTTATTAGTGAACTCTAGCCATAGCGCTCTCCTATCACTAATACGTGATTCTTTACCAGGTCTGCTTAGTGTTCAATGCTCTTTGTCATACTGTAGTTTTTGTGCTCATGGGAATTTGACTA